TTTTCTAACTTTTCAGCAGACCAGAGATGCTGTTGTTTTCCAACGTCTCCAGGAAATCTCTGTAATTGACCCATTACAGAGTGTAGAGCTCAGGACATAGGCAGAACCAATTCTTCAGCACTTACCACGTTAAATTTTCTTTCTCCATGACAACGTGCTTCTGTTTTTCATGCCTCTGAATGTTCCTTAGCTTTGTTTCAGCGTCTAAAGCCTCAGAGGATTCTGTGATGGGATTTCACACACACAAAAATTAAGGTAACAAAAACATGGTTGTGCACAAAGGTGAAGCAGGGTGGGCTGGCTCCAGTGGTTACTAGATTTCCTCCATGTGGCTGACATAAACATAATTGCGTTCACTTCGTAATTACCTTGAACTGTTATTGTAAAAATGGAAAATTGATTTTCCATATCCAGTGGCATGAGATTGTCCTGGTTACTCTACGAGACTTTATACTGCGTATTTGTAGATGGGTGCTGTTACTGGGATTTCAACAGCGTATGAGCCTCGTGTGTTTAAAAACCCAATACGTGGGACTGGGCAGTTTTTCACTAGTGGAGGCTCTTGCTTTACTTCTTTGCAGATTTGCCTCCGGCTTATTAAATGAAGTAGGGAGGCCATTCCCTTATCAAATTACCATGTGGAAGCAAATTACTTATATTTATCATCTTGCAATATTTATGCATTGCATTATTTTTTTCCCCTTTTCTTAGATGACTTATGTTTCTGTCTCATGTGCCTCTCGATTACTTAACACTGTCTGTTTTAGCTGGCAAGTACCTTGTGAAAACACAAGGCACTGCCTTTATTTGTCCTTCCAGACAATCCTTTTCCACGTCAGCTTCAATATAATAAAAATCCATGTCCTTTTTCCATTTCCCGTATGCTATGGCATTTGTACGGCAAATTCACTGCGTTTGCTACAGCCACAGTGATACAATATTTCATTAGTGCAACTGTGATCAGACTACGTAAGACAAACAGACAAGCTCCAGTTTTGCCTCGAGGCTGTTTGCAACTTCTTGTTTATCAGTTACGAACAAAAGCTATTCCAGAGTTCATGACTGAAAAGATTGAAAGCTGTTGCTTTACAATGCATTATCAGAAAAAGACAGAAAATCCAAGGTATGTATCAAAAAAATAATTATAAAATTATTCCTCCTGCTTTTAGCGTGATACGGTGTCATTTCAGTTGTCTTAATGAACAGAATCATAAGTAATTAATTCATTAGAATACTGCCATTGCACAGGAATGACCCACAAGGGTTTGTACTGCTAGGGTTTGTACTGCTAGCTTCATATTAGTACTACCTGCGTAACAATTTGTACTTGTCAAAAGCTTAGCAAAAGCCTGCGTAGCCCGAGAACGGTTGTGTATATAAGGTGCAAAGCAGCAATAAAATCTGAACCATAGATATTCCTTCTCTGTTCTTGCACAGAGGAACAATGCTCCTCTGTCATGGAATGACAAAGAACAACTCCCTCATACCATCAGAGACCCCTCAAAAAGCCAAACTACAGCAGGCAAGGAAGGAAAGCCACCTCTCTCTCATCTGCAGGGCTGCTTCTTGACAGCACAGGTCCTGCTGGTCATGGGGACCGGGAACACTGCCTGAGGCAAAAGCCGTCTTCCCCAACCTGGAGTGTCTTTCCTACGGCTCCACCTCTGGGAAGCAAAGGATTACAGAATAAAATCAGCGTTAATTTACAACAATGATAATAAAAAAGAATACGTTTGTGGCTGTCCTCTTTGCAGAGAAATGTTGGAGAAACATGAACTTAAGTGGAATCTCAGAGAAGCTGAAACAAAGGAGACAAATAGGTGATTATTTTCGTTAGAGGATGAGAAGGGGCAGAGGGCCTGACTTCTTCCAAACTCTTGGGACTGGGTGTGTTGCTACTTTTTGCCAAATTTTTCAAAACCGGATGGGAGCCCTACCAGGAGCACAAGTCTCGCGCTTATTCTGCACAGAGCAGAACTCCCATTTTCTCGCACAGCTGCATTTAGTGTCTGAAATGCAGCAATTGGTCTAGGATAGCTCCATCCCTTGCTTTGTTTGCTCCAGACATGTAACAGGCATGAGATTACTGGCACCGTCTGCTCCGTTTCTTGCTATTTCACTTCCCTGTGTTAAACCAAGATCCTTGCTTACTCCCATCGCCAGCCATCAGGAAAAGAAGGCTTGAAGGCAAGAGCCCTCGCACTTCTCACTTGATTAATACCATTGGTTGGTAGCCTCAGAAGTGACTCAGAGCTACGGAGGCGTGTTAGATTCCTTCTTACAGATTTGGGCCCCATCCAGCATAGCCATGGCACGCTAGGCACCCCGCTGCCCTTCCCAGCGAAGGAAGCTCCTGTGGTAAGCTCTGCTTCTCACCTAGATGGTCATCTCCCCGCCAGGCAGAGCTCGGGCTCCTGCTCCTTACTACCCGGAGAAACCGGCTGGGGGGAGATGAGGAAAAGTGAGCAATAGTAAGTCTATTTCTTGTCACGGGCCGAAAGGGAGCACGAGAGGTGCTGAGCTTTAAAGGGGGTTTTAGTGGCGCAGCATCTCCTGGGATTTACAAAGCACAGCTCCAGATCTGTCATTAAAGGAACAGTGTAAAGTAGTATTGTCAAATATCTATATTAGAATTCTGCCGACGCTTCATCTCGGGCATCTTTGTATGCAAATGCATCATTTACTATCTTGAGCGAATAGTAAAACTGGCATTAAAACACTTCCCACAGCAGTTGACTCTGATCTCTGGCTAGTTAAAGCATTTGGCACGTAATACATTTGAATAAAAATATTTTCAATCACTTTGAAAGTATGTTGAATAAAACCAAAAAATATAAATAGTCTTTCTCCATAAGGACAGCCAAAAAGAATATACAACTATTACAGCTAGCTTCTATATACTGCTTTGTTAAAACAAGCAGCCATTTTTTTGCGAGAGGTTTCCTTAATCTACCTACCTTCATGTGCAGACATTTTGATGAATATGTAAAAATACAGACCCATTACAAACATTGTACTGCTGTTGACTTCTAAAAAGGCAGAAGACACCAGAAGGTGACTTTTTTTCACTACTCTGCTTCTTCCAAACCTGAGCTGCAATGCTTTCCTGAGAATTAGGTGTGAGTAAATATATCAGGGAAGAACAGGCAGAGACAGAAGGCGAATTAGAAACTCTTTTAAGTAAAACCCCGCAAGAAGAATGAAGAAAAACCACCTGCCCTTTTAGCGTTGGTACCTAACACTCATTTTCTTTTCCTGCGGAGAGGGCTGCCCTATGCGGAGTGACAACAGAACGTCACCTTCCACCGCTACTCCACAGATACGGGAAAACCAGCACATGCCACAGCATCAGGTATCTGAAACCTGAGCTGCACAAAAAAGGGCCTGCTCCGAGTTTCCTTCCACAAGGAAAGAGGGGTAGCCAGCACTTTCCTTCCCTCACGTACAAGCTCATCAGGATTCGGATACTTGTGCCGTAATTTAAATTGCATTTATACTAAGGAATTTCAAAGTGTCCTAAAGGCACCGGCACCCATTCATTGATTTTATGCTGACTGCCACCAATTAATTTTGCTGTTCTTTTAAGTGAGGAACAGCTCCATCCCCCTGCCTCTTAGGCGTCTCCATCTGGTAGATAAAATCAATGTAGAAAAAAAAATGTGAATGCTGCTTCCAAGTGAAGTTATCCGGTGTCAGCCGTAAATGTCAAGATGCCGGTGTTAGCCTGTTACGTACTGATACCATTTCTACGTGAGTTGTATTATATATGTGTTAGAAGTTTGTCACGGTTAAGATTTGATTTAGGATTTTGGTGCAGCGTCTTGTATAACTATAGGTTCCACAGGGCAAGAAAATAGATTGTGGCCTACAAAGTTAATCTCTATCAGTGAAATTTGGAAGTAAGTAAGTTTGGGGCATACAAATTCTGTACCTGCCTTAAATCGATTCTTTCAGCTCCATCAAGCGGTCGAATGAAAAGTCTTGCATCCCTTACGTTCAAGCCATCACACCAGCAAAAGCATTGCTACTACAACACCGCAGGCACAGATACTTGTAGCTTGAAACCGAGACGATACAATATCAAGAAAGTTCAGACCTCAAAAAAGTCTCTCTCAGAAGGGACTCTCTTAGAAAGCTTGTAGTTTTTGCCAACGGTAATCTAATAAAATATAAAATGGGAGAATTTACTTTACAGTGTGAATAAACCATGTGGGAAAAGTATTACTCCCATTTTATAGCAGGAAAACTGCAACACGGAGAGATTATGAATGCCCCAAGATCACACGGGAATTCAGTAGCAAAGCTAGGAAATTAATCCAGCTATCTTGTACTTCAGCATGTTTTAAACAGTGTAGTCCTTCATGTTTGCAGGCTCACCTCCTGATCGATGTAGCTTGTAAGCAGGGAAGTGAAATCAACTGTGGTCTAATACCAACCGTACACAAACTATTTCATTTTCAATGAAATGGGATTGGATTTGGATACATTCAGGCAGAAGGTTTGTGCCGCTTCAGAAAGCTTTAATTTAATCACCGTTCTTCATGGCTCAGCACTCTCACTGTTGCCTAAGTGCCAGATTACTCAAGCTGTTGAGTAAATGGATTTCTCAAGCATCCTGATTATTTTTTTTCTCAAAATAAGCTGTTCAGGTTGTTGGTTTATTTACTTGACACAACACAATAGGCCGGTTTACATCCTGTCTGGCTTTCCTCTCCTTTGGGAAAGGAAGGGCCTAATTTATAGAGCATGCAGAAGGAAGAAAACCTTTAACAGTCTTACTGGTCGCTTTTGTACGCCTGTGTTGTAAAATCAAACTGATGGTATTTGTGGCTTTTCCTATCTGGGGAGGCTCAGAACATGGACTGTTAAAATAAGCCATGGAGGGATGAGTATACATAAGCTTTGCACACAGTATATCCAGACTAGTCACATTTCTTGAGATCAATTTCAAGCATAACAAAATGACCTTTTTAAAAATATCTTTTAAGGCACTTTACAAGATGAGTAAGAAAACGGACTCAAACTCTTCATTCGATTGGCCTCATGCGCTGAATTATAACGGGACATACAAGTACCTGTACTTAGAAGGCAACGTCTCCTATGTGGACTTCTACCTTCATCAGCCTTCAGTGGCAGCTGTCTTCATCGTCTCTTACCTCCTCATCTTCCTGCTCTGTATGGTTGGCAACGGAGCGGTTTGCTTTATCGTCCTGAGGAGCAGACATATGCGTACAGTCACAAACCTTTTCATCTTAAACCTGGCTGTCAGCGATTTACTGGTGGGAATCTTCTGCATGCCCACCACCCTCCTGGACAACATCATTGCAGGTAGGCTGGTTCGCACCACGTGGCAGAAAGAGCTCAAGGGGAACTCGCCTGCATTTCTGAGTGCTGGCCTCCCTGGGTGGGTATTTCTGAGTGGGCTCTGTAGGCATTTCAAGTCACTGGAAGTCAGAGGTGAGGAAGACAAGCCTCTAATCCACCTTCTCACTGGGGCTGCCCTTGCTGACTTCCGCATCCCTCGTCTTGAGGAAAGGATTCTCCCACTATCAGGTTATATGTTTAGAAAGACTTGGCAGATGCTATAAGCCAGATGCAGAGAACAAGCAACCGTGGCGGTCGATTCCCTTTCTTGTCTCGAGATCTCGTTTCAACGGGCTGTTAAATCACAAATGTTTGCTTTGCTGTTTTTTGAAACATCAGAAGCTCACCCAAGGCTTTTGGCAAAGCCTCCCTAACCCCGGCTATAGCCTGACAGAGCAAAACAAATGTATTAGTTCTGGGGTGGAAATCTCCTCTCATGCATATAAGCATAGTGCTGCAGCGAGATGGCGGCAATTTCAATTGCCTGTTTCCTTCTAGGATGGCCGTTTGGGAGCCTGGTTTGCAAGATGAGCGGGATGGTCCAAGGAATCTCTGTTTCTGCCTCTGTCTTCACTCTAGTTGCTATTGCCATAGACAGGTAAGATGATGCAGAGACTGTAAACTGTCGCTTTCATCTCCCTCTGGCCACCTGAGCATGCTGAGGCCCATTCATTAATCCACACAACACTCAATAAATTAGATGTATTTCGATCCTAAGGCTATTAAGCAAAAAACCAAACGTGGCCGGGTCTAAAGAGCAGCCATAGCAATTTGCTCCTCCACTGGAATCTCTTAAAGATGGTACAGCTGGACTACACCTGGCTGCCTGGAATCGGTTTGTTCCTTAGCTATTAAGCTAGATAGCAGAGGCACTACTACCTGCTTTGGTTAAATGAAGTAGCAGAAGCAGCACGCTGATAAAGAGACAGATCAAAACGAGGAAATTTTAACAGCAAATGTGACTTTTTTTTTTTTTTAAGATTGTTTTTGCCAACACAGCTCTTAAATGGAGCAACTAAATGCAACTCCACCGGTTTACGCAGGATGAGATGATTCCATCTATACTTTTTAAAAAACATACAATTTAAAATGTGCGCGTATGCTTGCCTGTTTGATTAAGCATTCCTTAAATGGCTTCTCCACGTCTGTCCCCGGGTGTCTTTGCCACAGGTTTCGATGCATTGTTTATCCGTTCAAGCAGAAGCTGACCATTTCAACTGCAGTCGCCATTATAGCGGTCATCTGGATTCTGGCCGTCGCAATCATGTGTCCTTCTGCGGTCATGCTGCAGGTACAAGAGGAGAAGCATTTCAGGGTGATCCTTGGCTATGGCAATGAAACCCGCCCTGTATACTGGTGCCAGGAGGACTGGCCTAACCCGGGAATGAGAAAGATCTATACGACGGTTCTGTTTGCCAACATCTATCTGGCTCCCCTGTTGCTCATTATTATCATGTATGCTAGGATAAGCGTTGCACTCTTCAACACCCTATCTGGCTCCCCTGTTGCTCATTATTATTATGTACGCTAGGATAAGCGTTGCACTCTTCAACACAGCAATGCCCGTGGTGGGAAAACACAGCCAGGAGCAGCGGCACAGCGTGTCTAAGAAGAAACAAAAAGTCATCAAAATGCTCGTTACTGTGGCTTTGCTTTTCACCCTGTCCTGGCTTCCCTTGTGGACTCTCATGATGCTCTCGGACTACACCAACCTTTCAGATATCCAGCTGCAGATCATCAACATTTATATCTATCCCTTTGCTCACTGGCTGGCCTTTTTCAACAGCAGCGTCAACCCCATCGTCTACGGTTTCTTCAACGAAAACTTTCGCCGAGGCTTTCAGGCAGCCTTTAAACTTCAGCTGTGCTCCAGGGAGATCGTTCACAGGGAGGTCTATTCTCAGCGAGGCCAAAACAATGCCATTTTGCCAGCTGCCAACCACCAGACACCCCAGGATCAAGCTTGTCAAAACGCTAAGGAGGAGGGGAAGACAGTTAAGAAGGGAAATTGGGTGAATAACCAGCAGGGTTTGATAATGGAGGATCTAAAGGAGCCCTGCAATGATGGGATTAACTGAAACATGCTACGAACTACCTAAATTATTTATGCCTAGCAGAGTTTATTTATTGTGTTGTGAAACTCAAGCTCTGTAAGCCCTTTTTGACAAAAATGTCAGTATGTTTCTGCTTTGAAGGAGAAGCGCAACTTGCATAATATCTGAACGTTTGATATAAGTAGGAAACCAAATTCCGCCCTTTGTGTTACCAGCTTAAACCAGCGGCAACTCCTCTGCGGTCCGTGAATACTCACTGCTCTTGAACTGGGCTGGAGCAAAGGCGTGATTAAAATGGGATTACCTTCCATTTATTGTGACATAAGAGAAAAAGAGAACTATGATTACTGACTCGGATACAATTACTCTGGATACTCACTGATGAAGAGGAGAACATTCATTTTCTTCCTGTGAATCTCTTGGAGCAGCTGAAACGGGGTTGCTTGAACAATATTTATAGTAATGTTTCAGCGCGTAAGGCCAGTTGTTGGTAATATCTACAATATTCTTCTGATATCAGACAATGAAAACATGATTGCTGTTTGTAGCATCCAGCTAGACTGTGGAGCTGGAAAAAGGAGGGAATCACGAGACGTGCCAGGGCCCTGAGCCTATGTCCCCTCCCGGGGGTTCGACTGTTGGGGCTCAGGGCAGCTCCGAGCCAGTGCGGCTGAGGGTGTCCCCCTTGTTGCATTAAGAAATAATTCTATCTGTAGACCAAAATACCTGCTAATGAGATTTATAAAAAAATCCCTCCACTAAAAGCAAGACTAATCCAATAAACTCACTTCTTGATTTGACATAAATCTCCCGTTGTTCAGCAATGGGTCCTTGGTACTACTCTTTTAGCTTCTTCTGTGAAGCATAAGCCTGTTCCTCGAACTTGTCAATCCGTTATTCTATAACTCTCATTAACCGAAATATTGGAGATACAGGCTGAATATTTGAACTGGACTCACCGGTTCCTGGGTCTTCTTGTGGTCGTATTCATATTGCTTCTGCCTGGACATTTTAAATGCCACCCGGTTCCTGCCCAAATGACAAAAAGTAAGCATCTTCAGTCAAATTCCATTTATTCCCCTTTCTGGTTGCCCCTCTTGTTAATTCTGTGATATTAACTACTGCTGCAGCTAGAGAAATAAATAAGAGTGAAAATTTGGCAAATAAAGGATAGAAAATGCCTTTTGTGGTACATTTTTGGGGGAACTCAATTCTATTTTTGTGGGGGATATAAGTTACCTAAAAAGACTTCAATTTCAATACTAGCAGGAGATAAAACACCTTTACGGCCCATTCAATCTGACAAAACTCGGCATGTACAGAGAGCAACCTTGGAGGCATCTCCCAGAGGCTCCCGAAATCAGTGAGGAAAGCAGGTTAGTACAAGACCTGCTACAGAATTAGAGCATCACCGAGGCCAAATGAGGGCCAAATACCAGGTAAGGTCACTCCCCAGCGCAGTCCTTCTTCAGGTGTGTTGGAGTACCTTTCAAGTCATGACATATTTGCACTATTAAGGAAAACCGACAACTTTTCAAGCTGTGTCGTCCCAAACTACGTTCTCCTTTCTGAATACCAGAAAATAAGGAAAACATTTATAGAATCGTAGAATCATAAAGGTTGGAAAAGACCTCTAAGATCATCGAGTCCAACCGTCAACCCAACACCCCCATGCCCACTAAACCATGTC